GGGGGGGGGGGGGGGAGGGAAGGAGAATTTAAATTTAGTATTAGAATAATCATGAGTTTTGTGAATATAAGCAATATCTTGATTTATAATCTTAGTACTGTAGACACAGTCGTTTTTTTTTAACTTTTTAAATTAAATATTGAGATTAGAACTGTCGTGTTTTTTTAACTTTTTAAATTAAATATTGAGATTAGAACTGTATATGACAACGTGTTACTTAAAATATTTGCAGTTCAAATATTACCATATAAGGAATAAAATTATATTATATGACAAAGAATATGCATAATTTCCTTCATAGTGAGGAAATCATGGATGCATGACAGGGCTGATCAAGAAATATACTTGGAAAGTGAATAATCATGCAATAATCACGAGGCATATTTGGAAAAGCATATTGTGACCAAGAGTCATTCCAAAATAAAAAACAATCAAGCTTTGAATTTATTCAAAAGTTCTCTGCCAAAGGAAAGGTCATTAATGATTGAAGACACCCTTAACGATAGACTCTAAACCCTAATAAAATGTCCGCTACTTTATAAATACTACCAAGAATACTACATTATTTTTGAAATATAACCCTATAATACATTACAACTTCAACCTTTAAAGTATACATTATATAGAAAAAACCATTACTTCCTTCAAAAAAATGTATACGAAAACCGACCTCATCAATGATATATCCGGTACAAAGATGCTATGAAATTTAAAGGTTCGTGTCGTGTGATTATGGATGGTTCCAGATCGCGAAAAGACAGACAATCCATTTTAATTGGAGATGTTACTGCAGGATGAGAAGGTATTTATATCATACTGCTCGATTCATTTTCTGGAGTTTCTGCTTATTGCTTTGATTCTACAAACATATGCTCAATGATAATACATTATTTTTTCTGGAGCCAGAAATAAGATGATGAAAGTACCACTTAATTTTGTTGCTTTTTGCATTGTATGTATTTAGTTCAAGCATGAAGATAGTGGCACAGCCAGCTTAAAGTATATGCTCG